CCACTCTCTGTTATCTCCTTTAGTAACTCAAATCTCCAAGTTTTTGTTCACCACTTCTGTAGCCAGGGATTGAACTCACAACTCTGGGTCAAGTAACTGGATTATCTCCACTAATCCCTTTATCCACAGGGTCTCAAAATTCCAATGTAAATCACCTGAAGAGGGCTGGAGCATACAATGTTGTGAATAAAGATGTGGACAATCGTCCAAATCGTCTCAGAAATATAGAGATGTTAATGAAATCTTGTTTAGAAAGCTTAAATATGGCAATTTTGAAGAGTACATTCCAAATTTTTGTACATGCAAATCTTTCAAGATTTATTTTAAATTATTTCTTATTGTTTTGAACAAGTTAATATATTAGTTCACCTATTTCCTTTTATCTCAGGCAGCAAAAATCAATTTTTGTCAGGCCTTGAGCAATATGTGTTAGTAGACACAGAGCATTATTTGCACAAAATACTTTACTCATCCTTAGTATTTACTTACTACTCACTTGCCACTCCCAATTGTGACATGCCAGTAACAAGACTGGCCATAAGACAAAAAAGCTGACTTCTATATACCATATCATTCCTCAAACACTTATAAAAGGTTAAGCTAAACAAAAAGTGAACCTTTTTATGTTATTTTTGGATCGTGTTTTTTTTTTTTTGCAAGTGAATATTGGATTAATTCTTTGGAGATAATGGATTTTCAGATCAAGTCCTACTGCTTACCCCCATAACGCGGGGTAGAGAGAGTGACTCATATCTTTTGCAAGGATATTGGCGCATGAGTGAATATAATGAATGCAACTGGAATTTGAACACTAGGCTTTGATTTCTCATTCTGAGAGGTGTTATCCATTATACCACCTGATATTCCCATGTAGTCATCTAAGTAATGACCGGGCACAACATTGATTAATTTTGGTGATCAGACATGAACCAGTGCTTCAACATGACATGTCCGTAAGACTTTAAAAAAATTTATAAAAAGTGTGTGTGTGGGGGGGGGCAACAATAGCCGAATTGGATTCATATGGAATCAGTTAAGAGAGATGTTTTGGGGGAAATTTAACAACAACGACGATTTATTTCCTTAGATTAAAATTTTTAATTTGTTCCCAAATATTTCTTTCAATTGACATTAAAGACGATCCATCGACACAAGGGAGCAAACCTTTGCAGTATTATTTCCCTTTAAGAATTCTTTATCTTACAAAAGCTAACAAAGCTTTGAATTGCAAACAAGCACGTGTTCCAAAATTCAAATTTTAATCATGAGAAAGAAAGAGGAAAAATTTAAATCCATTAAAGTATTTAACAGTTCAAGAAACATGAAGATTATTTGAACAAGATTTTATTGGAAAAATATGTAAGAAAACTTTATTTATGTACATAGTCAAGTATTTATACATGTATTTGAGAGGAGGAGGTGATAGTGATAACACTGAATGCTCCTATTATTTACATTGTTCAGGAAAAGAAATTTAAAGAGACAACTTGAATGAGAGAGAGAGAGAGAGAAAGAAATCAAAATACACCAAAACTGGAAGGAAATAGAAAGCAAGATAAAAATTAAAGAATTTCGAAATTAAAAATTTTCTGTCAGAACATAAAATCTTTCACTGTTCCAAAATGCAACAAGCAAAGAAGAAAAAAAAAAAAAAAAAAAAGGCCCAGTTGAAATAAAATTCTGTCTGGAACAAGGCACCATTTGTATACAATGATCAAATATTGCAGAGATTGTGACAAGCAACATTTTTCAAGTTTGGGTTATATTCCTTTAGTTATGAAAAAACTCAGGATTTAAACACCAAATGTCACAGAATTTCTGAGAGAAAAAAAACGCATTTGTTACAAAATGATATTTGAACACGGATGAATTGCCCTAAAATATTTGAGATCTTATATAAATACACATGCCAAGAATAAGGAATAACCAAGTTTTAAATGGACATAAAGACAATTCATGTTAAACAAGTAAATAATTCTTTTCAAGGCATCTAATTCTTCCTTCTGTGAATGGCAGCATCAGGTGGGGAGTTGGGGGCATAAAGGTTTGGATTTATATATTAAATGCTTTATTAAGCATTCTAAAAACGGTAAAACATATCAAAAGCTATGAAAGTTCAAGGATTAATAATCTTTTCAACATGGTAAAAAAAAAAAAAAAAAAAAAAAAGTTAAATATTATTAGACAACTTTACAAAGTCAATATTCAAAGAATATGTAGAGAAAAAAGAAAATGTATTTTCTACTTAATAAAAATTGTCTTTTTATCTTTAAGAAAAAAATGAAAATAACTTGTTTGGTTAAGGTCTTTTGACCTGAAATGTATTAACAGACTTAAAAAAAAAAAAAAAAAAAGCAAAGCACACACACAAAAAAGTAACATTGTGTTATCAGCAAATATCAGCAGTTTTTAAGGTAAAGTAAAAGAAAAAAATCCCACTATGCAGAAATCAGATTTTGCATAGTAATAAAATGGGAAAATACAGAAAATGCTTCCGTAGACTCCTCTAGTTACATAAACATTATAATCTTGCCAAATCAAATATAAAAACAAAAAAAAAAAAAAAAAAAAAAAAAAAAAAAAAACAATTTGCTCTTAAGTTAAATTCTGTTGAAAAAGAAAACAAAACAATAAAGACAAAGAAAATCCAAAAGAATTCAGAATTGTAATCGGAATGAGAAATGCTGCAATGTCTCAAGATTATAAACAAATATGAATTTAAAGACTTCTATAGAAAAGCAATTGGACAGGTTAGGTGACCTAAGTCAAGATGGAAAAATAGCATAGGAGGTTCCTTGAAAGAAATTACTGAATTTTGGTAGCTGTGTAAAATCTGTTTCGAAACAAGACCCTCTCTTTTATGTACATCATAAAATTTTTATTAAAATTTCAAGCTTTTGTAAATCTTTAACTTTTTCTTTTGTTCATGACTGTTATAAAAAGTTAATCAGTTCTTAATATTAGGAAATAAGATTAACAACAAACAGTCTCTACTGATCAAGTTTTTTTGTACTTTTTCTAAAAGAAAATATTTAATGAGGTTAAAAAGAAATGAAGAAAATAAACTAAGCAGAAAAAGTAATTGTATGTGTAAAATATCACTGTGTGAAAAGCTCATTTTTAAGATATTTGACAAAAATGGATTGTTGCTGCAAAATGAGATGCTGGATTAATAAAACTGGTTTCAAATGCTTCAGGCCAAAAAGTTTCTTTCTCTTGTTTCCTATACACAGGCAAGTTTCATTTAAGTAAATTACAGAAAAACTGAAATTCCACTCAGAAAGGGCAGCAGATGAAATCCAGCGTTTCTTACGCAAATGAAATTCAACAAACTCTCTCAATTTCCATTTTCTTTTACTATCATTGCTTTTTTTTCCACAAAAAACGTCTTAGATTAACTGTCAAAGACTTAAGCTTTTGCAGTTTTTAAAAAATAATGGGGGGGGGTCTAAAGGCAGTTCAGTGAACTGGCTAATTCAGAAATTATTGAGAAGGGGGAAAAAAAGCTAGAGAATTCCAAAAGAAGTGGGGAGGGGGTCAATTACCACAGCAGCCCATTTCAAGAAAAAAAAAAAAAAAAAAAAAAAAAAAACCAAACATGCCAATCTGTAATAAAAACTAATCTAAATTTGGAATATCAAGAATCTATTTTTCTTTTGTTTCTTGGCAGAAATATTCCTCAAACATTAATCAGATTGAAACACAAATTAACAAACACGGAGGGGGAGATCTGCTACTGTTACTGCCAATTACGACTAGCAACAAAATGTTACCAGGACATCAACTAAAAACTGATAAAATGCAAATGTGTTCTTTTACCAGATCAGATATAAATAGAAAAATAAAATGTTGCCTGAACTCAAGAAGGAGAAAAGAAAGTGAAGAAATAATATACAAATAGCAAGACAAGGGTATCTACAAAATGTGTGTGTGTGTGCGCATATATATAAAAATATAATATTATTACATAAATCAGGTACATTTATAAACATATATATATATATATATATATATATATATATATAGGAAAAATATTTACACAGTCTAACAGAATTATTTTTTTTTTCATATAGCAAAAAATAACATTTAGGAAAAAAACATTAAAATGTGAAAGAAGAGAAACAAAGCAGAATAAAAAGAAAAACATGTAGAGATGTTCTTCTGTTATCGTGTTAATAAGTAGCAAGAAATGAATATAGCCAATGTGTTAGTATCAAACAGTTTAACATTTGGATATTTCAAAATGGAGAGTAGAGAAGGGAAGAAATCATTTGGAATGAGTGGGCACAACACGTATTAAAAAAAAAAAAAAAAGGTCCTCAAGTGCACCTTGTTTGTTGAAAACCAAAGGGTATTGCAAATATTGCAGTGAAAGTAAGGGTTGCTTAACACCTGTCTAAAAATCACTTCTTGTGGCAGTCAACTAATCATTTGAGTCAAATAAAAAGAGTCCAACTACTCCTTAAAGTGACTAAGGTTTGCTTTAAGAGTGTTTTTCAAGCTAATTTTGCTCAAAGATTTAAGTCTATAGAGAGAAAACAAAAAACGAATCACAGCCAAAGTGTAAATAGGCATAGAAATTAAAATCCAACTGATGAATGGAATTGGTAAAGAAAAAAAAAAAGGGTAGCTGTTTTTTTTTTTTTCTTACGTATTTTCTGGAAAAGAAAATCAAGAATAGAAGAGCAAATTGGTTTGACAAAGAACATGGTAGAACAAAATTGCAACAGAAAGGCATCATGAAAGTTTAAATGCTTCATCCTCCTAAAGGATAAGAAATAAGATCCCCTTACAGAGAGGGGGGGGGGACAAGAATAGAAATAAAAATCTGCCAGTAAGAAATTAAAGAGGAAACATTCAACATTCTTGATTGTAGCCACTTTCAATAAAAAAGTGAACAGTCAGAAAAGATGTTTGGAAGACAAATGGGTGTATAGCTGAAACTATAGCAGTTTTCTTGCCAATTGCTCTGTTACTTGAAAACAAAAAAAAAAAACCTTTCAGAGTTGGTCTTCATCACTGGCAGCATCAAACATCTGGTAAAGAGAAAAAAAAATTTTCTCAATTACAAAAAGCCAGAAAAAAAAAAAAAAAAAACGGTTAAAAAAAAAAAAAAAAAAAAATATGATTATTACCCCTAATAAATTTTTAGGTTCAATTGGTCGTATACCATCATTGGGGATTATGATTGGTGTTGAGGGTCGTTTATCATCATTTGAATTGTCACATTGGTTCACAAATGAATCTGCCACTGGTGTAGAACTGTTATAAACAAGATAAACATTCAACAATCAAAAGTCATTCATTAAAGAAGATATCATTTCACAGTCAAATCTTATAAAAACACTAATTAGATAAAAAGACAACTAGTTTCATAGTAGTTTTGATACTTTTGAAATTACAAAAACACAAGATTATAAAATTTGAAAATCTTAATCCAGTGTTTTGGGATTTTTTTTTACTGAAGGAAATATTTCAAGTAAGTAAATCATATTTTTCACAGGTGTTTACTTTTATATGTAGGCCCTTTAAAATTCAAAAATAACCTGTTTGTATCATCATAAGGAGGCAGGGGGGAGTAATGGATAACAGCATGGATTGAGGAATCAAAGTGTTGAGTTTGAATTCCAGTTGAATCCATTACATTCACTTACATGCTAATACCCTTGGGAAAGTTATGAATCCTCTTCTCCCCCTGCCAGCTATGGGTAAATAGCAGGCAGGAGTGGGTTCTATAGCCTTGGATGCCAACTAGTCTAGAAGGACAACCCTGAATTCAAAACCTGCAGAGGGTCGTTTGGGGACAATGTGGAACATTGTGCACCAGGTTTGCACAAAACCTTCAGTGTTGTCCTTCACCTAAGACTGTTAATCAGAGCTAGACTGTTCTGGTATTCAACCTATAGCTATGAGAAGAGATGAATTCATAGCCTTTCGAAAGAAACTACATGAAGTTGACAAAAGTTTGAAGACATAACTGAATGATGCTTTGAAAAAGAAACAGCTTCTTTCTTAGCCATAAAGTTGACCATTGTTTTTTTTATAAATCACAATTCATATACTTGTGTGAAAAACAATTACAGAGCAAGTATGGGAAGCTCTTCTGCATGTGCCAGATTTTCCAGGCAGTTATATTCATACTGATAATTATATCGCTTCATAAAAAAAAACATCTAGTTGTCTAAATATTCTCTCGATGCCGACTTCCAGGAGAGTGAATCCTTGCATCTTCAAGATAACGTTTTCCACTGAAATGAAGTGGAAAAATTATACTGTATCAATCGCTAGGCCTGAGGAGGCATGGTGGGGTAATGGATAGCAGCTTGGATTGAGGAATCGGAGTGTAGAGTTCGAATTCCATTACATGTTAATACCCTTGGGAAAGGTATGAATCCTCTTCTTCTCCCCCCCCCCAACCCCAGCTGTGGGTAAATAGAAGGACAGACTGGGTTCTATAGCCTTGGGTGGTAACTGATCTAGGAGAAGGACAACTCTGAATTAAAAACCTGATCCTCCAGGTTGGGGGTTGTGCAGTAGGCTAAACAACCTACTCACTTAAAAACAGGCTTGTTACAGAAACCTCAACAATATCCTGCAGCCCTATATTCTTCAAGGAATTTAAAGCCATATTTTATCATCAACAACTAGTCAAATTACTCACACAAGATCCAGTTTACGAGGAAAACTGGGAGAAACTGTTCTTGAAGATATGATGGACGTCCACTTTCTATGGATGATTGGAGTTGTGTAAGCTTTCATGGTACGTCGTTGCCTTCAGAAAAGGAAAAAAAAAACATGAAAACGTGACAAAAGAAAATACACAGTGAATAATTGCATTTCTGTTAAATAAAAATCTTTAAAAATTCAATAACGTAAAGATTAAAAGAATTAAAGCTGTATGTCATTTCAAACAACAAAACAACAGGCCCTAGCAAATATGTTTACTTCCTAGTTTCTAAATGGCCTGTGCTACACTAGCCAAAAAAAAAAAAAAAAAAAAAAAAAAAGGTGACATTTACTGAAGTTTATCTTACAGAAGAAGTTCATTATTATAAAGTCAGTCTTGATGACTTTCATTACAAGTGCTATTAAAAAAAAACAAAAAAACTTGTTAATCTAATGTCAAATGTTGCCTATATAGACAGAAATATTGTGTATATTTTATTCAATTAGCCAAGTGACTATCACATTCCATAAAACTTAGTTTGTTTTTTTTTTAGTGACAGACCAAAAGAGAAATATTTACTTCTCTAAAACAATTAGCATAATCAAAATTGAAACCTACTCTAGCATGCAATCATCATCCGAGGGAGAATGTTCAAAAGAAGAGGAATTATCCAGAGGAACACACAGGGAACTTGTGGAAGTTTCATTAGCATCCATTATTTCATCTACAAGAGAACATGGACAGCAAAAAGAAAAACATTCAGTAGAACAGCAAGAGAAGAGTTGGGAGAAAATATTTGAGACAATTTTAGAGAAAGAAAGAAAAAAAAAAATTTTTTTTTTCTTGCCAAAACAATGTTAAAAGAATTTAATATTATTAAAAGTTACATTAAACATTTCTATTCCCTTTAAAATGTTTATGACTACCCTGGATATCTGACACAGACAGCACAATAAAATAAGCATGTCCTTTGCCCAATGCTACAAGGCTGAAAGCAAGTGGAGGGCATTGTTGTAGGCATTTACAGGGCCTTAAGCAAAACCATGGAATGAATGCACAGGTGCACATGCCACAAGATGCACATGTGCACCATGGAGTAGGAAATGTGTTTATAATAATTCATTTATTCAAAACCAAATACATTTTGAATTGTCAAATATTTTGCTGCATTGATGATGGCAATCAAAACTTAATTTTTAAAATCTGATTATTAATTTACAGTCTTTTCACCCTAGCCAAGGAATATGGGGTGGGGGGGGGAGGCAGATCAATAAAATAACATGGCTGTCTTGGCAAAACTCATTTTGTTATAAGAAATAATAAGCTAATATAACAATAAAAGCTATCATAATTTTTTTATTACAAGTAAATAAACATTAGTTGCATATTATGAAGACCTGAAAGACAAATAAACATTAAAAGGTAAATGCACATTAGCAACAGTGGCAAGTGTATTTATTAAGTAAGAGGAAGGTATATTTTACTTACCATCTGATATTCCATAGTCAATATCATTAGCATCTACTTGCGGTGCGGCAGTGGAAGATCCCAAACGATAAGTTTTCTTTTTCAGCAGTTTGGAGAATGGATAAGTAAATATTAGCGTCAACAACATGAAGATGAATCCCACAAGAGATTTTAGCATATGATCTGCTTTGGATACCTACAGATAAGAAAAGGGCGTGTAATACTTGGCAAACCACTAGAGCCACACCTAACACCACACAAGTATGAAGACGATGACAACAACCAGGATAGAGAGGAGAGAGAGACATCATCAACAAGAAAGAAAATGGTACAAGCAGCAGCTCGTTTCTTTACTTGCTATAAACAAAGATTAATTTTATAGCAGGGCTCAGTTTGAGTTTGACAGTCAACTACGTGGCAGAGAAACTTTTGTTCGAGAAAAATATCCAGCCTTCCTGCCTTTACTCTGCTATCAACTAAGAGGAGAAAAAGATTTCATGTAAAAGAAAGTGTGCAAGAATTGATGTCAATTATTTCTAAGGATTTAATCAAGTACAAACCTAATGGAAACGTGCATTTCAGAATTATAACTTTCATAAAATAAGAGTTACATATTTGAAACCGAGATGACAGTTGTTCAGATTTCAACAATCTCAGAAAGCATATATATATATATATATAAAAAGGGAGAATACAATTCACAAAAAAAATGTATGTGCAGAGAGTGTCTTTTCCAGTAAATTTGCACTCAGGGGTCTTACAACATTTCTCCATTCCTGGCAGAACTTCTATTATCACAGTGTAGGATATCTAATAACAAAAGTGAAGAAGAAAAAAAAAAAAAATCTAAATGAAATCAGCTAGTTTATAAAAAAAAATCCCCCCCCACCAAAAATTTGTATGCACATGTATTCACACTAACATAACAAATTTAGCCTGATGAAGTCCTAAAGGCCGTAATGAGTCACAAGAAAACTTTCCACTATTATACATTTCCCGATAGATAGATAGATAGATAATTTAAAACTACACCTCCAAAACGAATTTCAAATTTATAAAGATAGATGATTGGAGAGCTCTGTTAATATCAATATTTCTATTCTGCACCATGATTTCAGTAATGACACAATGACTCACAGTAAAGGAAGGAATGAATGAAACTACCAACAACATAACTATATCAGCTTGTCCAAGTAGATTCTCTTCAAAAAGAAAATAGCCAAACTACATGTACCAAAGTGATAGAAGTTGACAGACAAAAGAAAAAAATACATCTGTTTTGGAATTTGGAAACTGAAGCCTTTTCTCTGTCTTTATCATCAGAAAGGATAATTTACTTACTCTTTCAGGTGAACAAATGTTTAAACAAAAAAAAAAAAAGAAAGAAAGAAAATAGAGTTTTGCATGCATAAAGCAAAGAAAAGAGGCAACAGCAAGAGAAAACTTATGAAATCAATCATCACAAGACTGGATCAAAGCATCTGCCAACTTGAGGTCTAAATCAAACTGGGAAGCAAGAAAAAAATTAACGCATTAAGTCAGTTAAATTCTACCAAAATGAAATTTTTACTCAACTTATATACAACATATATGAAATTGTTTGATTTTGTTTAGCAATGCATCAACCTCTATATGGGTTATTTAACATCTAAATATTTTGAATGCATTAATTGTATGCCTTCAACTACAGATAAAATGTATTGTTAGTCATTTTACCATAAAATATATTGCTGGTAATTCTATTGAATAGATATTTAGATAAATATGTATTGCTTGTATTTTTTATACTTTCATAGTGTTTTGCTTTTGTTTAGGGGTTGGTCACTATTTGAAGGTAGGTGACTTTGGAGCACCTGTTATTTTCTTGCTCAGGTCTGTTCAGACACGCACCCCCACAAGTGTGTATATATATATATATATATATATATATATATATATATATTATACACACACACTACATTGTTTGGGGTTTTACTATTTGCCCATGGCTGAAACCCTAACAGGTGCTACCTACACAGGTCAGGGTGGGTCTTGGGAACAGCAGCAATTAAGAGGTGGTTCGATGCTCCTCAAAACCTCCAATCTCCCAATCAGAGGCCTTGCTGCTGGATGTAGTTTATTGTCATGCCCAGGACTAGCAATAATGAAAAGGACATCATTTAAAAACAGTATCCATAATTTAGGTCCCTATTATATGCTGCAGACACCTAATAATATAAGTGAATGACAGGTCATTTAATTAAAAAAGAAAAAAAAAAAAAGAAAAAAAAGGAAAGAGAAAAATGATCAAATTAAAGCATCAGATAAAGTCCCATTTCAAAAGAGAAATCATTAAACAGATGCACCTGATTATTATCTCTAATTTTTCTCTCTCTTATTAGATTTACTATATAAATAAGTAATGAAGGTTGCTTTATCTAAATTTGGGCTCCTCAAACCTTAGGAAATTAGATTATCAATTCTAACAAGGTATATTGTGAACCTCTTCAAAACAAAAAGACAACTTCACATCCTGAAGCAAAATGTTCATAAATACTGATTTGCCAAGGTTTTTGATTAGAATTCAATTCTTCATCTGCCCCCCACCCACCGAATGAATGTTAAACGTCTTTATGTGCCAGTCTTCAGTGTGCTCCATTTCACCATGAAGAAGAAGAAGGGCAAAGGGTTTAGATTTTTGTAGGCAATGAGAAAGAATAAGTAGCAAGATCATATGTGAATTAAACCCATCCAACATAGTTGCGCTGGTGTCTATCATAATTTAGAAGGGATTATATTAAAAAAAAAAAAAAAAAAAAAAAAAAAAAAAAAAAAAAAAAAAAAAAAAAAAAAAAAAAAAAAAAAAAAAAAAAAAAAAAAAAAAAAGAAAAAGTGCTTTTTTCTTTTTTTATAGTGAGCAAAATCAGAAGCAGTAGGAGAAACATTTAAGTGACCAATTCAATAAAATAATGTGTAGATTTGATTAAGCATGGAAAGTGACACCAATGCTATTGCTAAATAAAGTTAATCACCAAATTGAAGTCATTGCTGACAAAATCAGATTTTCATCAGGTCAATTGAAATAGTAAGTTTATTAGTCAATAAAACCACAGAGATGTCTCTTCAGCAATTACCAATTGATGGTTTATAGTTGTTATCAAGTTCAAAACCAGGAATAAATATGATCTGTTTTGCAAAACTTTGAAAAAGACTAGAAAAGCATATCCAACAGTATTCATATAGAATTTTTTTTTTTTTTTTTTTTTTTAAATATAAAAGGATTAATGTGGATTCTCTGCACCCCTTTTGTGATTAGGATTGATAGTTTTCCCTTCAGTTATGAGCTGCAAAGCAATAGAATCCTAAAATTCTGTTAACATATTCTGTGTGTCACTTATTAGTCTCTTTTATCGTAGCCTAGATGAAAGAAGAAGAAGAACAAAACATCCTCCTTACCATAGTAAACTTCATTGAGTAGGGGCTTTAAACACAAGACTATTCAAATCTTAATGTTCCAATTCATTACATAACAGATTTGATTTCTATATCAAGATTTGTTGACTCAAGAGTGAATGGTTTTGAATGGCTTTAGAGAGCTAAGGATCAAAACTGTTCCTAAGTTAAAAAGAAGCGGCATCTCATAGAAAACATTTCTCAACAAATGGTCACAGCTCAGCTTAGTTGATATCGATGCCCACATGAATGCACTTAACATGCAGTTTGAGGGACTTAAAGAGTGGGGTGCAGAGTAATATCAAATTGCATCTTTTGTCACCTTTGTTCTTGCACAGCTTCTGACTTCAGCGAAATGAAAGCTGATGTGCTCACCCACTTGAAGAAAGTATTCCATTGGAATGTAATTTTTTTTTTTTTTTAAGAAAGGCTTTCATTTCAGTGGATTGTGAACCAATTTGTGGGTTTTGATTGAAATCCCCAATAATGAATAAATGAACTTTAGTAGTTACTGAAGAAGGATTGGGGGGGGGGGTCATCAGGTTATCTTGACTTAGAGACACACACACTATTGTTGCAGTACATGCAGTGCGCCTACATCTCACAGGATTTGTGACCAGAGTTATTGAGAAATGGTATATGAAGAAAAATAGGACAATTTGAACTCTTTCATGAAGAAAGTTCCTGTGGCTAGAGAAGGAGGCTAGGATACAATCATTGCCAAATGCCTACAAGTGTTACATAGAATATTTAATCTTTGCACTTCTAAAACAAAACTTTGTCAAACCCCAAATATGAAACCACTTTCATTTTTTCCCAATTTTAATGAACAAAGAAATAAAACTGAAGCAGTGACATCTTTTTATTAGCTGAATGATGAAATATTCAAAGTGACGAATTAGTTCATTTCTTTTCTTAACTGCTAAAAATCCTGTTAAAGTTTGAATGCTTATAGCCTCTTCTCTCTTCATTTGCCAGGTTTTCTTTGCAGTTAACATTTTACATACATTGGCTATAAAAAGAATTTCTTGCATGTTTCTAGATTAATTAAATCAAAGGCATGAGAAGCACTGATGTAAATACTTCAATAGATACTCACCACATTGTTGATCACGTATTCCCGTACACGTTTTTTATAAACCTGAAACATAAACATCAGTAGTCAATTGGGGAGAAGGAGATTTTGGCAACAAAAGAGGTAAGGGGCTGCAGAAGCAGGAGAGTAACAGATCAATCTGTAGAGAACATTTCCAAAGATCCCAGCAGAAACGGGAAGGGGGGATTCTAGAGTTTAACGAGCTGGAAAACCGCCATGATTTAATTGAAACTTAAACAATTCCATTCTCTTCAAACTGAAGCTCTAAATGTTATTTTCATTAAGATTTTTATAGAGTTTATTGAAAAATGATTTTAATTAAAGACTATGCAAGTAGAATTGTCTCAATGTGTATCTATAAACACATTCCAATATGTCTATATTAAACTAAGTAGGTGAATACAGAAATCCAATAAAGGCAACTATTCCATTAGCCCAAGTCAGAGAAAGTGAGGTTTCTAAATTTTCATAAATACTATTGCAGATTTTATGATCATGCCTACCTTTCTGATGCAAGGGAAGGCCAATAATTGGTCAACACTTGGGCGACTGTTTGGATCATGATCCAACATCTGACGAATGACATATTTAAGATCAAATGAACGACCTGAAATAGAAAAAAAAACTTTTATATTTTCATAGTGCACAAATAAACAATATACTGCATTCAAAGATTCTACAAGTTTTATTAAATAGTCAAAGTTGTTCTCATACACAGGATTAAAAACAGACACACAATAATTACTGGTGTGGGATGAAATTTAATTTTTTTTACTAAATTGATATATATTATTTAAAATAAAACATTTTAACCCTTTGGAAACAGAGCCTCATTTGGAGTTTTAGTACCAAGAAGATGAAGCCCTTTTCACAAGCCCTCACTTGGAACATAAGGGGGGAAAAAAAATCGATATGAAATCATAGAACACAGCAAACTATCATAGAAACTGCCATTAAAAGGCCAAGATATGCAAGAAATGTGAGAAGAAATCTGAGTGGCTGGTATGAAGACAAGTCAGCTAATCTCGAGGCTTGTATTAATAGGCCAATGGATTTGCCCAGTCATCTCCTATGGGTTAATATTAAAAACTATCCTCTAAAGTGAAGCTTAAAAAAAACATTGTTGACCATTTTCAAAAAAAAAAAAAAAAAAAAAAGTTACTAAGAAAGAAAAAAAATCTTAAGAAAATGCTAAAAGAAACGTGTTGCCTGATGTTGACTAATTCAACTACCAAGAAACAAACAAGAAACTGAGGTTTACAAAATTATCTCCCTTTCCTTCTTTGCCTATTACCTTACCTAACGGTTTAAATGAAAAAAAAAAAAAAAAATTCTTGAAAGGTTTATTCATAAAATTAAGTTTTACAAGCATTTATTTTTCTTGAAATATTTAGTGCAGAAAAAAAATCTTTCACAAATATTTACAAATTGAAACTTAAAATCATTAAAACGTCCATGAATCTTGTAAATATATGATTTCATAAATCCTAAGATGATTGGTTTATGCTGAGCTAGTCTGTCGATGTAAGAAAAGGTGAAAGCTACGGGAGGGGGTTAAGGTGTCCATAGTGCACTTTTCTAAAATGGGGGAAAGGTTTCAGATTTGGCTAATTTCTATAGACCATACGAATATAACATGCTTACCTTGTAGAAATTCTTCAGGAATTTTACCATTTCTTAACAAGTGCCAACCTTCTCCTCCTCGTGGAAGGTCAAGATCACTGGAAAGTTCAAGGATTGTCATCCCAAGACTACAAAAAGGAATCAATTAAATATTATCAATGTCATTGTTTAAATAAAATTTTTAAAAAATAATGAAAACATAGGCATATTTACAGTGAAATATTTCTGCTTCGTAATGAAAGTGGAAATTTACATTTGGCATTTTCCTTTTTATTTGTGAAACACCATCTGAAGAAATTTATACTTTACAATTAGGATGCCAACTGAAAAAAGAAAAATGTATGGAAGTGACACTTTATTGGTTTTGTGAAAGAGTGTGCTGACTGTGTAAGGATTAAAATTTGAATACAGTGACTACATATAATAAAAAGAAAATAAAAAGATTATGACTTTAAATTTTAGATAAAAGCCAGAATCTCATTTTAGTAGCAGTGTGAACAGAAAAATATTTTTAATTTATTTTATTTTATTTTTTTTTTTTTTTAATGAAAATTCAATAAAATCAAATCGGTACCTGAAAATATCAGCTGGCTTCCCAAATTTTCCTTCAAGCAATTCTGGTGCCAGATATTTGGGGTCACCTTCTTGGGCATCCAACAGATCATAACTCTGAAAGAAAATAAGGCCAGCCATTTTGCCAAAAGTCTTCCAAAATCATTCAGCTCTAATTTAAAACTGCAATATCATTTATCAACACATGATTGGTGCAGCAGCTACGAAAAAGTAATAAAAAAAAGTTTGCAACATACCTTGCTCAAATCCAAGACCAGACCAAAATCTCCCAATTTACAGACATCATTAAAAGAGAGGAAGATGTTCTCAGATTTAATATCCATGTGAACAAGATTATGATTGTGTAAATGTTTGACAGCCTGAAATAAAGAAATTCATGTCAAAATGTCAGTCAAAGAGAAAAGAAACGTCTATACATAAAAGATAACTTTGGAAATGATATACAGAGTTCTAGAACTTCATTTTTCACATGCCAAAAATTCTGAAGCGAAAAAAAATAAAAAATAAAAATTTGTGAATTACCATTAACAAGTCTACTAAGTATTTCCAAATCAGGGTCTCTGGGATATTATGATTCTTCTCAGCAAAATCATACAAACTGTAAAAAAAAAAAAAAAGGAGAGAAATGGGGGTTTTAGCTAAATATTGAGCAATAAGAAGAGAAAACTATTTCATTATATAAAAACTTTGACATATTTTGGTTTACATGATAAGAGTATAGCCATAGTTCAGTGAAGAGATGGATTAAAAAAAAACATGTTTAGCTATTCTGCTTTCAATAGAAGATTAAAAAAGTCTTCAATTCACCTGGTCTTGCAAAGTTCTGTTTGCAGATAAAGTTTTCCTTGTTCTTCCCAAGCATGAATAAACTTCACACAGTTTGGATGATGACATACTTTTTCATGTTTGGCAACTTCTTCCAATTTTCTTTTCCTGAACAAAAAAAAAAAAAAAAAAAAAAAAAAAAAATCAATCACACATCAAATTGGTTACAGAAAAAAAAACTAAGTTTCCTTTATCAGCCCAAAATCATCATCACTTCTTTGTGAGAACAATGAAGTCAATGTATGAGAGAATATGTAATGGCAAGAAAAAAAAAAAAAAAAAAAGTCCAAAAGCATTCAAGTAATTCCTACCACTTGTGGCAACACTCTCTACTAAGCAGCAGTCATTAAATTATATTATTTGAGTTCTGTGACAGCATTCAATCATCTTGATTGATTTTATTCTCACTTCACCAATTTTATACGATCAAGAATTATCATCAGCTTCAACGTGCACACACAAACTTATAAAGCAAGTCTATAGAACATAAATATCACCATAACTACCTGTCCGATTCTCCACGGAATGCTTCACGGGACTCCTTCACAGCATAATACTGACCATCAGTCTTACTTTTTACTTTGTATACCTACAGGTAAAAAGAGACAAAAAGCAAATAAGAGATTATAAACAGACTTCTGAAGTTTCCTGCCAGTTAATCAATTATAAGTATAGAACATTTGTGACATTCAAGAAGAAATCATTTAAAATTTGACTTGGTAAAGAAAGCCTTATCATTTAAATGGACAAGCCATTAAGCAAATTTTATGTCAATGGCTCACAGATATTTCCTTGTACTATCAGCATTGGGTTGATCAGCAACCAACAAGGATTTGCATGACAAAGAGCACCAAGTCCAAGCAGCAATTAGAAAACAGATGACAATAGGTCATTAACATGCTTCTGGGAGGGGGGGGGGGATTCCGTCTGCTGCAAAGATTCTCAACACCACTTTTTACACAGTTCAAAGCAAAAATCATGCAAGTTTTTACTCATCTCTCTTCATTGCTTTGTACAATGAGAAATCAACTGGAAGAAAACATCATTGACAAGCCTTACAAATTCAGTAGTTAGAAGAGCAACTTTCATATCAACAAACAGAAAAAGAAACACTGATCAGAGACTCTAAGCAGTCTTCTCTTGCCTGATGGTGGGAGTGGGGTAGTTGCTACACAATAAAAAAGATTTTTTTTAACAAGAATCCAAAACAAAGAGAATCATGGTTAGGAAAGCCAAATATATAATCTATTAGGTGACAGAGAACCTTCCATATTTGATGGGTATTCAAACAGTTTCTGAATTTGGCCTGCAGTGAGCAACTGGCTCATTTGAAGGAAGGATTGGAATAGAGAATTTTTTTCCCCTGCCACTAAACATGTCAACCAGTGATTTTTTTTTTTTGTTGCATTTTGACAACCACTTGTTACACTGTAACAATCAGAGCTGAGAAGTTCTTTCAGCATGAAACATATTCTCCAGCCCATTACTTGGCCGATTCTATTCCAAAACTAAAATTTTATTTTCCATATGTCTAAAAAAAAAAAAAAAAAAAAAAAAAAAACCAAATTTATCTTATTAGGTCAATTAGTAAACATGTTAGGACCATTCAAAATTCATAAAAACTCATGCTACTAGACAAAAGGCCAATCTTAACAGAGTACTTGCAGCATGGCCCGGCATTGCCCGAGCTCGATTCAAAAATCGTACGACTCATACAGCAATCGCTATCACTTGACTTAAAATATTTTTGCCCTTCCTTGCCTTTAAAGGAGTGCCCTTTGCCATGCTGATGTTGCTACATGCCTTACTTCTTGCCTATCTCACACTGCAAATTTTTTCTAAGATCTATACTAAACATTAAATCTGTTACGAAAAAAAGAAAATGAACACAAAGTTTGAAGTGATACTTTATAAATGACTATTAAAACTTTTAAAATACAACTAAAATTAAAATATAACTTTTACATGAAGTTATATTTTAATTTTTTATTAACAACAATGAGCAAAATTTAATGAACTATAAATCTACCCAATTTATTTTTTCATTTTAATATTTCAGTTATTTGTTTTTAAGAAACTAAGAATAGCTAAGGCAACAGCAATTCAAGTTAAAACAGTTATTTTGTTCAACCTGTCAGCTCATATTTTCATAAATAATTGCTTTATACAGTTTTAAAATGCATCATTAAAGAAAATATAAAAAGATTTAAACTGATATCCATTGATGAAACAAACCCAATTTAAAACAGGATTCAGCTGGTGATGTTTATTCACTCAGCAATACAAATTTCAATACATCAGACCAGATTGTTTTGCATGAAATGATTGCAACAAACCTGGTTTTTAATCTGTGTCTACCTAGAGTTGTGTAGGCACAGAGATTATTAAAGATGAGACATTGCTCTACAAGGCAATGGAAATTTCATTTTTTTTTTTTTTTAAGTGTTGAATTTCTCTGGTATTTCATCCAACAAAATTTTGTGAATGAATTTCTAACCTTATGGCGCACTCACCAAATTGACAAGCATCCTTTATTTCTTTAAGCGTAGACTATTTTCATATGCGTAAACAAGCACAGCACTGAGGACAACTAATTTGAAAGACACTGCCATGAAATTGTCAACTTATAATTTAAAGATAAGTGGAATGAAAACTCATGAAATGAGAAACAAAAAAAAATGATATCTTCAAAAAGAGAAAAGATTAAATAGCCTTGAAAATAAATGAGATATCAGCAATTGAATAGGCAGGAAATTTTACCACTTTGACACAGGTTTGCACTGTAAACTAGGGCAGTTTGGGATGCCTCATTTTATACAGTGCTCCTTATCTAATTAGCACAGTTCAAAAAAATTTCCTTTTTTGTTTCCCTCCTTGCAATATTCCTTGTATAGTCAGTGGTTCCAACAATTTCAAAAGATTCCTCAAGAAATAAACTGAATCAAACCTAAATTTTCTTTGATGGTGGAATAAACAGTATCATTTTTATGGTACTTCTGCATCAAATTTTTACATATGTGCCAAATCTATAAATTCAAATTTTCTCTACGTTCAAGGAATACTTTTTGTATTGTTTCTGCAAATGATAATTCCCTAGAATTTACCCTTGGATGATCTAGTAACTGTACAACTCAGAGAAACACACAAAACAATTAAGAAAATGAAAAAGAAAAAAAAAAGAAACATCACTGACACTACAGAGTTTCTTATGCTGAAGAGTAAAAAGGAAGGAGGAGGGGAATAAAGTGGAGAGAAAGAAAATCTCAAATCAACATTAAAAGCAACAAAATAGCATGTATGCCACCAGTGAATTGTATAATCAAGTGTCTCACCTCCCCAAAGGAACCAGCACCAATTTTTGACACCACTTCAAAGCACTGATTGAAGTAAAGTTCCTTGTTACTCGCATCATAGTTGGGATTCATCAGGCCTATGAGTGTTAAGGTAAAAATTCAATAGTAAAAAAAAAAAAAAAAAAAAAATATGTTGTCTGAATTTCAGAAATAAAACATTAATTTTGGTTTAGTTTTTTGTTTCATCTTATTTTTGTTGACTTTTACTCTCTGGACATTTTTTACATTCAATGATTAAGCAACAAGGATGAGAAAGAACTAAAATCTAATTATCCTTCATTTCAAGGCCATCCCACTTTAATTAACAGTCATAAAAAAATTAAAATTATCTGAGTGTTGGGCTAAAATTCTGCACAAAAGATAAGAGAAAGTCTTTAAACAAAACGGCACATTAAGACATATACTTGCATAACTGGTTGTGTAAACAAAGTGAAAAATGCAAGAAATATACAAGGATACAGATTTGATTCTGAACACGTCTGAATGATACAGGCAAAGCCTTCTGTCTAAGTCTATGACCAAACACGCGGCTGAGAGGAGGAGCACTCTTAACAGGAGGTCTGGGAGGCAAACATTCTCGTGGAGTGCCTCGAGCCTGTAAAAAAATAAAATAAAAAAAAAAAAAAAAAAAAATTTTTTTTTTTTTTTTTAAATGATTAATTCAGTTGAGAGGAAGGTGAGAATAAAAAAAAAAAAAAAAAAGATAATTTAAAAGTTTATAAGAAAAATAATTCTTTATTTCTTCAATACACATATCTGCAGCAATGAAAATCAGCATCTAGACTTGAAAGATTCATATAATTTTTACGTAATAATATCCATCACCAAAATTCAAAACTGAGTAATCAAAATATAAAGAAGTTAAAGGAACATGAGAAGTCAAAATATTAAATTCTAGGCATGAATTTCATATTAATTTTGACATTAAAAACAAATTACTTATAAACCAAAAGGACGATTTTTCAGAAAATATAAACAGCAACCATCATGAATTAATTTTTATTAATTCCAAAGTTTCTTTTTGCTTATTCAATTTAATAAATGTTTGCAGCATTATTGCCTGTTTAAATTTTACACAACAAACAAGGTAAAAAAAAAAAAGTTTATAAACACAAATGAATAAACATTGTTTTTCAAGACCTTGTAATTTTCCCAAATTCAAAACTTTCAGCCTTAAGAATAATAATGCTTCAATGTGGGAATCAATAAAACTAGTTAGAGTCTTTTCAAAATGATCAATCCTAAAAATCAATGATGGATACTGCAAAAATTGTTTTATTTTTACAAAAGGAGCTCTGTGTGTCTTAGGTACATACACAGTAAAACATTTTCATCAAAAGTTTTAATATATTAAACCAATAAATAATAAAAGGAGAATTCCATTTGACATTAAACAAATCATCATGAACAGTTTCATTTCCATTACTTCTGAAATATGTGTTAAGTCAAACCAGTTAAATTATATAATATGGTAACTGGAAGAAAGAATTACAGCCTTGACAGATTTTATTCAAGTGGAAATTTTTTACTTAATGAACCAGTGCCATCAAAAAACTTTTTACCAAACAACATGGGTTCATTGGTGAAACATGTCAGAGTAAAAACATTTTCCAATTTGCCTCATATTTATCTTTACATCAGATTCCCATCCAATGTTATACACACACACACTTATTTTTAGAGAAGAGTGCACATTATTAGAGACAAAGTATCCAGATATATATTGACAGTGTGAAGACAGTTCAACACTGTATGGTGATTGTTTCAGATTTCAATGTGATCTTCAAATTAAGTGGCCATCACCCCTTTAACATGAGCAAATTCTGTTTGTAAGTTACAAGTGGATAAAGGGAATTAGGAGAAGAGGGAAACTGGCTATTCCCATCTTATTTACAATCATTGGTGGTTGCAGGAAGTGTGTATGCAAATATGCTGAGGTCATGAACTCCAGATTATTCCTTTATATGGATTACTTATCAGTAATTTATACTGCTATTCATTTAAATTATTTATTTGGTTCTTTATATGATCATGTATGTTTTTCTTTGTTTCTATATGTCATTAAGTCAAGTTATGAGATTTTAAAGTTAGTCTTTCTGATCATGATGTAATTGTAGATAAGGAATTTGATTTTCCCCCGTTTGCATTCGGAAATCATTTCTGATCTTTCACTTAGGAGTTTATCATCTTATTCTAGGAAGTTAATTACTGCTATTTTCTCATCTAAACAAAAGCTAATATATATATATATATATATATATATAAAGATTCTGTTGTCACAAAAGCTGGTAGTGTGCAGTTTTTCTTATTATCAATGATATTTTTTATGCATTTGTGAGTTTCCATTTGTACTTTGATAGAGAACTTCTGTTTGCTTATTTTGCATGTTGAATAATATTTTGTATGTGGATATGTTTTCCCTAGATTTCCTTTCGAGCTTTTACTATCAATTTGTATGTTATTTATACATGCATTTATTCTTTACTGAGGATTGCCATTTTGTTCAGGTGGATTTCTGAAATACTGGTGATTTTCTTGTAATTCTTTTTTTTTTTTTTATGGTTCATATGTTTTCAGTACAGGCTGCAGAGTATTGCTGTTGAACATTTTATGCAATTGGATTCAGAGAAGAGTGTTGATGATTTTGATGAATATTTTCCCTCTATTTACTTTTATTGAACTATACAGTTTTATTTTTGTCAGTTTTTCGTTTTGTTTAGTCAGGTACATGGCAATCTTTATTTAAGGCCATGTCATGGTGCACCTCCTGTCCAGATCTAGAGGCGTATCTCAAATCACATCATTCAACTGGGAGCAAAGCATTTTTTTTTTTTACTTCTTTTTTTCTGGAAATGACAGTTGATAAGTGTTTATTGATAGCAACCATCTCATGGCAGCAGAATGTGCCTAGAGCATGTAAAGGGAGAGAATTCTACAGAAACTATTTTCACTTCCAGTGTGTTAAAAAGTTAAGGAGAGAGAGAGAGCACAATAAAAGAACATGAATTAAGAAGGCAAAAGATAAGGACTGACATTGCAGTTAAATTTTTGAAAATCAAAGTTGACTGGGAAGCAAGAAGCTGGAAAAGTTCTACAAGTGAAAAGTGCAAGAAAAGAAATTGTCAGCATAGAACCTATGGTTACATCTAGAAATTTCAACTGTAAAATAATGAGATCTAATAATAATAATAATAATCTAGTACTGCACTTAAATTTGCAAAACCATGTACCAAAAAGGAAAGCTCATCAAAACCAATAACATTGCAGATTCTCCTCTAAAGGCATAGCAGAAGCAACAGACTAGATATGATAGCAATATTCAATGCATGGACAAGTATGCTTGACTAAGATTTTAATGAGAACAATTGTGTAGCATGACATAACTAACCAAGTTTCCTAGTTGCAAACCAAACAATTGATTCAATATAATCTTTTCACTTCATGTCAGTGGAAACTGTGGGGCCAAGAAAGTAGTAGAGATGTCACTATCCTGAAGTTTAGCATTGGCCAATGGAAGACAAAAAACAGTTATCTAAGACAATTAAAAGAGAGCAGTTTTGTTCCAGAGGTGTTAAAATTTACAAACCATTTCTTGCCCCAGTTAACAAAATATTCTAAGTCATTTTTTAAAATCAACTGCCAACTTGACCTTATCAAATCTATCAGACTTCCTATTAAGAGTAAATAGTTCCATCAGAATATATACCAAGTTGACAGTTGATGACATCGGGAAGGTCATTGATGAAAATTAAGAATAATGTGAGTTCAAGGATAGAGTTCTGTGCGGAGGTGAGGGTTTTACACACACATCAATGCAAAAAGATCTAGAAGAGTGAACATTCAGGACAACATTTATTTCACAATTTGCTTAGAAAGATTGCAGTTCAAAAATTTGTCCAGATTTGTTTAGGAGTTTTTCTTTTCAAAGACACAAATTTATTTCAAACACAATAGAAAGAGGGGTTCAAAGTTCTCAGTCCAAAAATATGACCAAATGATTTTTTTTTTATGTAGAAAATGCAGATTTTAGTTGGTGTTCAGATCACTTTAAGTGACTATAAAACTGACAAATTAATTAGAAGACATATATAAGAAAAAAGAATTCTGTGAATACAAATAAAGGACAAAATGTTATTCTTTCATATTGAAAGTGGATGTCATGAATGGATTTAATTAAGTTTTTATCTTTCTGTAAATTGTCAAGCAACCAAATTAGATTTTGTTTTAAAATAAATAAACATACCATACACTTTTGTATATCTTGGTCAACTTAACCTAGATAGGTCATTTCTCTATCACTATTTACTTCAAACTTACAAGTATATTTATTTAAATTAGGACTATCAATTAAATTTCAAACTTTCTTTTGAAAGACAAAACAGAAGAGAGTATAACTCCAGGCATTAATAACAAATGAACTTGTTTATAATAATCAGCTGAAATACCACAAGATAATAATAAATTAATCAAATCAAAATAAGCAATAAGTAATCAAAACAAATCAATGTAGACGTTCTACAAGACAGCAGATAATGTTCCATGGCATCATGACAAACATTTTTGGAAATAGATAAACAGAAATTCTTTAATGATTTGCTAATTAATAAATCTGAAAAATTTGCTTTAAGAAATTAATAACAAAGATAAAATTATGTAAAATAGCAAATACTTATCAGCTGCATTCAAAGATCAGGTCACTTTGGATACAAAATGGCAGTATTTATCTTAAGTGGATTGTCTGGTAACATTTTGTTCTGAGGTGTGAAAAGGAAACTATTATAATATTTCTCTCTCTCAAACACAAAATTTAAAATGGATCATAGTTTTGGATTTTATCCTTGTTCTGTTGCAGCATGTTTAACCCTGTCATGTCTACACTGACACCAGAAGGTAGACAAACCTCAAAAATATACCTCTAGTTTCACAAGTCCAAACATTCACACAGGGACAACTCTGTTTTTCATTGATAAGAAAGAAGTTCCACTTTGACAGCCTTTTTTCCCCAGTTACTTTGTGAAATAGACCCCAGATCTTTTACAATCTTAACTCTTTCAAGAGCTGCAATTAACAGTTATCCTACATATCCTCATAATATACATTTATATTCCTTCATTTTTTTTTTTTTTTTACCTCATTCAGTAACCCCACCATTGGTGATTCCAGGGCTTTCTTTTTGGTGAATGTATCTTTAGAAAAAAAAAAGCAATCTTACAATTTAAGTAACAAGTGTTGTCTCCCTTGATATTCAATGGAGGCGCCTATTACAAATACACGTTTTCAATCAGATGTCGAGTTATTTTGGTTAAATAAACGCAACCAGGAATAAGCCAAAACAATACAATCAATCTTAAACAAGTAAACAATAAAGAGAGATATAAAAGACAGTACTTTTCATTAATCAGATAGTCGTGTGTATTTTGACAAGTAGAGAATAAAAAATAATACATTTTTTTTGCCAAATAGGTAGACGAGATTTGTTGATGAAGGTGATAAGTATTTACATTTATTTTTTTTAAGAATAAAATATAAGTTTAAAATAAACTAATTCTGAAACATTTTCATCAGAAAAACTAAATCGAATTTAAAAATAAAACCTTCAAACTTCCGAAACATTTTTTTTCATGGGTCTATGAATTTAAACTTAAAGGAGTTAAAATAAATATCAATTTTCGTAATATAAATCAAATTATAAAAATATCACTTTTTCATGAATTAATTTCGTAGGCTAAAGTCCGTGATAACCAAAGAATAACACTTTGGTAAATAAAAAATAAGTATTTTTGTCTATATTCAAACACCCAAAAAGTTCACAAAAATTAATATTTTCTGGGAAAAAAAATTATTTAATCAAGAGAAGAAAAAAAAAAAGAATTTTTTTTTTTTTTTTTGAACCATTTGTTTTATTCAAATATTTGAAAAGAAATTATACACGAAAATAGTTGTTTTTTTTATTCCTTCCTTTCACTACACCGATTATTAAGGCACAAAATAATTTTCAGAGAGATATGAGAAATACAATATAAAAAGATAGAGATTTTTTCAAAGTTTTTTTTTTCCATTCATCTTTGTTTAAAAATTTGAAACACTAAAAATAGTCAGTCAAAAAAAAAAAAAAAAAAAACTAAAAAGTGACAATAAAACAGAGTAGGTAAAATTTTAAAAATATTTCTAAAAACTTATTTTAATTATTTTATTAATTAAAAAAAAATGATTTCTATTGATGAATTGATAATTGAGAAAGAATCAAGAAAACTAAATTGAACAAAAAAATGACATGTCACAAAGTTGAATGGAATTTTAATTAAAATTTATCAACACTGAAAAAAGGTAAACAAACCATTTGTAGTTTTTATCACTGGGGAAAAAAGCCATTTAAGGAAGGAAGAATCTTGTGTCTGGTAATCTCTTCCCAAGAAAGAAACTCCCTATTGCACTATTAAAGAGATACAGGATTTTCAAAATGTAAACAACCTGATGTCTGAAGCAATGACCAAAAATGAGAGACAGACATTTCATTGGGAATGACAAAAAAAATGGAACCTTTTCGTTTTTTCTTTTAATTCGGTAAAGAAAGTGAAGTCAGTTTTGTTCTTTCCCTACAAAAATAACAAATGTCACATTTGTTTTCGTCACATTTTAAAGGGAAATAAAACTAAAATTTATTTTTATTTTTTTAAATAAAAAGAACAAAGTGTCAATAAAAGAATTTCATGAAAAAAAAAAAAAAAAAAGAATCCTCAGTGACGTTTTGAAGACAGACATTTTCAAATAAAATAAAAAATACAATTTTAATAAATAAATACATATTAGTTTATTTTTTAGTGTTGAGCAATCGCACAATAAACAATGTAACATACAAATGTAAACAAAACAAAAGAATCCAAAAGCTTTATTTTTTTTTTAAATGACATTTTAGAAGAAGCACATGGCTTTTTGGTTTCT